CACTGCTTCAAAGTGAGATGTCTCCAAATCTGAAGGACCCAGCCCCTTTTGTTGATTTTTTTTTTTCAGACCATGAGGCATGCAGACATGAGAGATTACAGGTAAATCCAAAGAAAAGCAAGATCCAGACCCTCTTTTCCTGCAGTTGGTAGTGGCTGAAGTGGTTACAACCACCTTGCTGCAGGTAACCACTGCCTCCATTATTGCATAATACCTCACTGTCTAATTAGCTGATTAACCTGCACAGCTGCTCTTTACTATCGTGACAAACAGTGTGAAGCTGCTTCTGTGTTAATCCTGCACAATAAATGAGGATGATTGAGAAGCATGGTAGCAGTTTCACAGCACAAGTAAACCCCCAAATTACTTCTGTACCAAAGGAAACAATGCTGGCAACAGGAGGCAGATAAAGCTCCGGAGTGCCTGCAGAATAAGATGAAGGGTGAAATAATGAGTTACTGCAAACTGGAATCTAAGCAGAGGTTCACCTGCTCCAGAGATGTGTCTGCAGTTGGTTCAGCCTTCACAAAAGGTCAACTAATTTGTGATACAGGGAAAGCCAGCGGGAGATCTGCATTGGGAAGCATGGAACAGCAGAGAACCAGTCAACTCAATAGCAAATAAACACTACAGCCTAGGACACCTCGCATTCATTCATTTTTATTTCACATTCACAACCAGTGGGAAAAGACTGCTTTTGAAGCATTTTCCAGGGATAGGTCACTTATTGTGAAATAAATGTGAAATGCTGCCTTTCATTAAGGGTAAGGTCATGTTACTGCCTGTCAATGATGGTGCTAACTTCCCTCACCTCTCCATTATCAACATGTGCTCTATTTGATCCCAAGCCCCTCCAGGCTGTGCTGCCCTTCTGGATCTCTTCTACATCTACTTTTGTAACAACTCTTCCTAACCACCAGCAGCAGCTCAAAAGCTTGCTTCTCCCTTTCATTACCTCTGTTATCCAGACTGACAAGCATCTGCCTGGAGTACTGCCCTCTGCATGCCTCCTCCTAGCTCAACACAGACAAAAAAAGTTGCTTTCTACACCCTCAGGGCCTTGTTCAGGCCATTTCTGTCAGTGCTGTCTTCTTTTGAAAAGCCTGCACCCACCTCAAAAGGCCTGAAACAGAATGTGCTGCTTTCTTACAAGCACCATTTCACCCCTTGCTTCCCTAAACAGTTCTTTGGGGTGAGTCACCTTCATAGCCTTTGTCTGCCATCACTCCCAGAATCTGGGCAGGACCTGTAAAAATTATGGCAATGATAAGGCTGCCTTAATAGCACACACACATCTAAGACAATGGGATGACCCAGGTAACAAAGGGGGTGTGTGTATTTACTGTATGTTAGTGCAGAGGCAGAATTGACTTCCCAAGAGCACTGACTCGAGACTTTGCCTCAGTCTTTGCCACTGAAAACCACAGAAACTCTTCCCAAGATAAGCAGACAAACTCGAGTATCATGCAACGGGGACATTTTTTGTGGCTGGAGAGGTGACACGCAGGTAACCTGAGGTGACAACAGGCAGACGTGTACACACTGATACTGTTACAACGGGTTCTGTAACAATCAGGGTCCTTGAACCTAGGAGGGTGCTCACAGCTGTGAACAGGCTTGGGTAAAGAGCAGGTCCTGGGGAATCATGGACAACCAAAAGGAGCCGAGAGGGACAAAGCTATGGCAGCACACAGCTCACACAGCTGGAGTTAAGTGCACCAGGGAAATCAAGTTACTTGGAAGCAAGAATCCAAAAGTAATCATCTTATGCATTTGCCACCAAAACATCTTTCTAAGTCTTTGGCTTCATTTCACATTTTTCTCAAATCAATCCAATTTTTTTTTCTCTTGGATAGGGGATGTTTGTATGCTGATTGAGTCAGCATATAAACTGTTGTAAATAAAGTTAGCTAACTGTGATGCTTCAGTCTGTACACAGGGCGATTGCGCAAAATACTTCAGATACAGAAAGAAAAAAAAAACCACAAAGCACTGGCTGTCAATGAGAAGCACTATGAAACTAAATTATGAGGCTGCTCTGGGGGAGAAATTCCAACTCTAGATTCTGCAACTGCAAGAAAGAACTGGAGAGCCAAGCCCTGACAGATTTTATGGAGCTGAATGGGCTGAGCTAGAGGAAATATCAAGATTCTATTTATTTATTATATTCCCAATACAGTGAGTTGTCATAAATTCTTGAACCACTCAGAGGGAAAAAAAAAAAAAATCACAGCTTCTTTTTTTTCTCTCATTCTATTTCAAAATTCAAATAAATTGTCAGAAAAAGACCTTCATCCTTAGCCGTTCATAGCCTCTGGAATTGTTTCCCAGTTATTCTGGGGCTTTTACAAGCAGAGCCAAACAGCCACTGTTGAAATGAGCCCCTAGCCCTGGGCAGAACTGCTTCACACACTAACCAGCAAACACAGAAGTCAGAATGAGTAGTTTAGCACAAGCTGAGCAGAAAAGGGTAGTGAAACTGACACAACCCCTCAGCATGAGGTATTTTAGTTTGCATGTGAAGCTCATGAAGCTCAGCACTCGCATATCTGGACTGCTGAAAGAAAAGTTTAAAAAAAATCCCTTTTATCTTCAAAGTATAGACTTAGGTATCAGGCAAGAGTGAAAGTGAACAAGCAGCATATTTTAGGTTGTAACCACCCAAGCAAAAACTAGCAAGTGATATTTTCTCTCTCTCTCTTTTTTTTTTTTTTTTTTTTTTTTTTTTTTTCCTTCTCTTTTTTTTTTTTTTTTTTTTTTTTTAATGGCTCTCCACGCAGAGCAAGCAAGTTATTCTGTACTGTCAGGAATGCTGGATTCCTACTAGCAACAGTCAGCGGTTTCTTTTTCGTTGTGAAAGCTGCAGGAGGCTCTGGCTCTCTGGCAGCTGTATGACAGAGCATGAGCAGGACGCTGGCAGAATCAGCACCTCCAGCCCTGTGTGTACGTGTAGCACGTCCCCATTCCCTCACTCCTGCAGGGAAAGGGGTCTTCCTCTTCCCTGCTGCCTGGCAATGCTGTCTGCTGGCCTGGGAGGAAATGCTGAGGAAGCTAAGCCTACTGTAAAAAATGAGTTAGGAGATGGTTCTCATTACAATGATTAAGCTGACAATCTTAGTGGCAGGCTAGAAATTTTCTGGCCATTACACAATACTAGGAAATTTGGAGTTTAACTGCAACTAAGTCAGCCTGACATAAGTATCCCCTTTTGCAGAAAGACAGCCTTTATTCAAAGAAGATGCCCTGGGAGATCCTACAACTGCAGATGGAAGAGGTTACAAGGAGCAGGAGAAAAGGTCTCTTTTACCAACACAGCTGGCTCAACTTTAAAGTTTACTTGTAGCAGCTTTCCTCCTACATTATCTAAAGAGCAACAGGGCAAACACAGGTTAATAACCCATCAAAGGTATGCATCAACTACCCAAACACTAAACTGCAAGCTACTAAACTCACCATGAGCCAGCAGTGTGCACTCACAGCCCAGAAAGCCAAATGACTGCTGGGCTGCTTCCAAAGCAGCGTGGGCAGCAGGTCAAAGGAGGAAATTCTGCCTCTCTTCTCCTCTTGTGAGACCCTCACCTGCAGTGCTGCATCCAGCTCTGGGATACTCAAAGTGAGAAGGACTCATGGAGCAAGTCCAGAGGAGGCCACCAAGCTCATCAGGAGCACCTGCCCTGTGAAGTCAGCTTGAGAAAGCTGGGGCTGTTCGCCCTGGAGAAGTTTCCAGTATCTGAAGGAGCATACAGGGAAGCCAGAGAGGGACACTATGTTGGGAACTTTAGTGATAGGACAAGGAGGGGTAGGTACAAACTGAAAGAGGGGAGGTTTAGGGAATCTTTCCTTTTGAGGGGAATCTCTCCTATTTATCCCCAATTTAAGCTGGATATAGGGAAGACATTCTTTATTGTGATGGTGAGACACTTGAACAGCTTGCCTGGGGAGGTTGTGGATGTTCCAACACCTGGTGTTGTTCAAGGACAGGTTGGATAAAGCAACCTTGAGCAACCTTAGTTGGAGGTGTCCCTGCCCATGGCACAGGGGCTGGGACTAGATGGTCTTTTATATTCTATGAAATGAGCACTGGCGGAACTGAGGGTGCTATAAACCTGCAAGCGTGTATTAATAAGCTTGTATAACAACTTACAAGCGGTGTGTCCTGTGCCACTCATTTCAAGAAGAACACTGAGGGGCTGGAGCATGGCCAGAGGAGGGAACGGGGCTGGGGAAGGGAATGGAGCCCCAGGAGAGGCTGAGGGAGCTGGGAAGGGGCTCAGCCTGGAGGAAAGGAGGCTCAGGTGGGACCTTGAGCTCTGCACAGCTCCTGACAGGAGGGGACAGCCAGAGGGGTCAGGCTCTGCTCCAGGAACAGGGACAGGAGGGAATGGCCTCAGGCTGGGCCAGGGGAGGTTTAGTTGTATATTAGGAAGAATTTCTTCAGAAAGGCTGGCTGGACGTTGGAATGGGAGACTGCAGAGTCACTGCCCCGGAGGTGTTCGAGCAACGCCTGGACGCGTCACTCAGCGCCACGGCCTGGCTGACACGCTGCTGTCCGGTCACAGGCCGGACTCGCAGACGTTCTTCCCCACAATCACTCCGTTCCTTCTCTCTCTATCTATTTATACACATTGATATCTGTATTTCTGCCTCGCCGCCCGCGCCCCGCCTCCCGCTCTCCCCGCCCTCAGGCGCGCCCGCGCCTGCGCCGTGGCGCGCGCCCCGGGCGGCGCATGCGCAACCGCCGCTCCCGCCCAGCCCGGCGCCGCCTCCCTCCTCCTCCTCCCTTTCCCGGCCTCTGCCCCGCCACCTCTTCCCGGGGAAGGGACGAGGGCGGCCGGAGCGCGGCACGTACCCGCCGCCATGCAGATCACGCTGAAGACGCTGCAGCAGCAAACCTTCCGCATCGACATCGACCCCGAGGAGACGGTGCGGCCATTCCCGGGCTCCCGCCCCCGCTCCCCCCACCCCCCCCACGCTCTTCCCCCCTCTTCCCATCCCCGGGACGCGGCCGTGGAGAGGGATGCGGGATCTCTGCGCTCAGCCCCTGGAAAGGGAGATTCCGTGAGGGGTTGGGGTCGCGGGGGTGAGGCGGGGTCCGCCCGGGATGATTTTGCGGCTGGCGGGGCCGGGGGGAGGGGATGAGCTCAGGCGGGGGTGCGAGGGACCCCTTTTCCTCGGGATGCTGGTGGGTAAGAGGGACTTCCCATCGCCGAAGGAAAGGGACTGCCGTGGCCAAATCTCCGGCGGAAGGAGTTTTCCCCCCTTGTTTTAGAGGAGAACGCCCCGGAGGTGGGAGGCGGAATAGCTCGGGAGGTGGAAAGGGGGAATAGCTCTGAGGTGGAAAGGGGAAACAGCCCGGGAGGCGGGAGGGCGAATAAATACCTCACGTAGTCCTGGGGAGGAGAGGAGCGCTATAGGAAAGTTTTCCCTGTCGGGAAGCGGGGTGCCGTGGGTTGGCAGTCGGTGGGGCACAGATCGCTGCTGGTTTATGCTGGGAGCCCTGGGAGAGGGGGATGGGGACACTGGATATTGCGAGAGCATCTCTCTCCCGGGATGAGGCTGGGGGTCCAGCAGAAGGAAAACGTGGTGGTCCTTCCCTCCTCCCATGGATTCGCAGGAGGGAAACGCTGGGAGGGCTGTGGGGCTTTACTGCCGGGGCAGGAGCGTGATCTGGAGAGGGGCTGGTGTTTGCTGCCGGGTGCATCGCTGTGTGCCCGGGCAGGGGTGTGCTGTGGAGGTGGGAGAGTGCGGGAGGGTTTGGTGTTTGGCCTCACAGGGCGAGCTGCAGCGATTAATCAGTGTGCACTTCGGACGGGAGGGAGTGCGGGAGAGACGCTGCTGACCTCGGTGGAGCCGGTGTTGGGGTGTGCGGTGGGGTGCACAGCAGCCTCATTCCCCCTCTCCTCGATGCCTTTGGATGTGTCTGATGATGCTGTGAGCGAGGAGGAGACATGTTTTGCTTCCAGGTGAATGTTTTCTTCTGGCACACAGGAGCTTGCTGGAAAATCCTCGGGGAAATGCTGTGTTGTGAGATGAGAGGAAGGGCCCTAAGTGAGTTGGCAGGGTTGGAAGTTGCCTTGTCACTTGCCTGAGCAGAGATGGTTGTTTTGATAGCCAAGTCCACACACACTTGTGGCCTTGGTTTGAAAGATCTGGGGAGGCTGGCAGCTTTCCTTTCTTTCCAGCAGCCTTTCCTGTGACAGGTGAGCAGTGAAGCTCAAAAAACTATGGAACATTGGATCTGCTTTTGTAAAGTCTGTTGGTTTGCCCTCTTCCATCTTAAGAAAACTAAAGGATGACAGTTGAAAGTTGGACTAAGAGCTCATTTGGGTTACCATTGTGACTGAGAGGCATGACAAATGCTTAGGAGAGGCAGGGATCAGAAACCTTCAAATATTTAAAACATAAGTCTGTGCTGTTACTGAAAAAACTATCTTTTTTTTTTTTTTTTCCTTTTTTTTCCCTCTTGCTCTCTGCATTCAGTAAGGTCCTGGGAAGTAAATTCAAGGAGAGGACTGAAGGAATGTTGTCGGTCAAAGCCTTCACCAGTTTATGAGACAGCAGAATGCAATGACTAAGTTGGATTGTGGGAAAATGAAACTGCACCCTCTGTTTATAGATGTAGCCGCTACAGTGGCTCAAAATAAAAATGCTCCTCATGAGCATAACTTCAGGTTTTGGCCAGGAATGGGTGGTAAAACAGAGGAAATCTGGTAGAATTTGAGGAGAACTTTGTTTTTAAAAGAGCAGGATAAAGGCTTGGTCTTATTATTAACTATAGAGATGAAAAACATGTTTAAATTTCCATGTACACTTTTTAGAAAATTACTAAGAAAGTACTGTTGGAAATACTAAAAATCAAAAAACTTAGTAAAGAGAAGTTCAGCTTTGAGCTTTCAGTTACAAACTGAGTCTTAAAATCAGAAAACGCTTTGAAATGTGCCATGCTGAGGAGGTGCCTCACAAGTGTGTGCTTTGAAGTTCTCGGTCAGACTTTTTGGAATGCACAAATTTTAGCTAAGTGTGCTGGTTTCGTAGATTATTTTCCTCAGACCTTGAAACATGTTTCATGGAGTTTGGGAAAGATTACTTTTAGTCTTTGGACCATGTGTGTGTTTCTCAGAGGTAGGCAGGCTTGTTTACTTGGATTTCTGCCCTATGGTGTGACAAGGCCAAAAATCGTGTAGTTGCGATAGGCGCAGGAAACGCGTTGCTCCGAAGCTGTGTTCTGGTTCTGTAAAATTGTTTTTGTGTTCCTATCAGTTTCTCCTCGTACTCTCAGTACCCAGTTAATCTGGAGAGACTTGATGATACTATGCAAGGTAGAATTCTGATAAGTTTAACTTAGAGCTGTCGTTGATAGGAATGTTTAAACCAACCTCCAGTGAGAGTTTGAAGCAACATACTTCCCAATAATAAATTATCCTTGCTAACTGGCTTTTTGCACAAGCAACTGTTTTTTTTTTTTTCCTAGTAAATCTCACAGTTGAATTTTAAACTTGCCTTCAGTGGTGTGACTCCGGTTTTGGTGTGGTTGTGTTTTAAAACATTGGCCAAGTGAGTATTTTGGATGAGTGAAAATTATACTTGAAGCTATTATCTTGCTTGCCAAAGCACTGGGAGAAGACTGTCAGGTACCCTGACTGACTAAAGATGAAAAGATTTAGCCTCAGGCCCTATTATTGGGGAAGGCCTGTTATCAAATTAAATTTTTGGAAGCCTGTTTTTCCTTAAGTTTTGTGATGTGCCCATCAAGCTCCACACCTGGCTGGATTTACCTCTTGAGGTCATTCTGGTGTTCCAAGTGGGGGGCCGCTCAAGGCTTGAGCATTTAGACTTAACCAGGGTAAATGAAAGCATGTATCCATCTGCACAAGCTACTGCTTCTTTTTGTTGGCTCTCTGTGAGAAAGTAAATCTGTTAAACATTGTGTGAGGAGCAAATAATGAGCGCGGTCTGACACTGATGCAGAGCTGTGTAGCCACATCTCTTGTCCGAGGTGACACTGTAGGCTTCTAAATGTGGCACTTCTGTTGTAGTTATCACTTTGTAGGCCCGAAGCAGGGTTTTAAAAATCTTCAACAAACATTCTTGACTTTGAAAGTGAAACACCAGGCGAAAGTTGAGTCTGTCCTGTTTTGTTTTCAGCTCCCTCTGCGCTGTTAACCTAAAAACCTGATTGTCAGAATGCAGAGGAGTGCAAGGAATATTCAGGATGTCAGCAGTCTTTTGGCTGCAGTCTCTGTGTCACATAATATGGGCTTTCACATTTCGCTGTTCCACCACAGCACTTGAACACCCAGGAAAAGCCAGCTTGTTTAACACCATGTCAGCAGAACATGTTAGTTGTGGAAGTTTGAGCTTCTGCTGTGTTCTGGTGCGTCCTTAGTGTGTGTATGCTTTTTGTGGCGATTTCTGTATGCGAAGCTTACTGTGTCAGAAGAATTAACTTTGTAACAGTTCTGGAAGAATCAGGGACTGCTGCTGACTGAAATGGTGAAAGCTGACTCCCGGGTCTGTAACTTGTGAATGGGTATGAACCTACTCTTGAAAAATCTCCTTCCTACATGTGTTTGAGTGTATTTCCCTTGGAGTGTGTCATTTTATGGTTAGAGGAAAAGTGCTCAGTTCAAAATCCAGAAGTACCTTTCTAGGTTAAAGATGTTTTTCTCTTCCAGGTCTTGGTATTCTTTTTTAATTGCTCTTTGGGTTGTACAGTAGGTATCTTTCTCCTCTTCTGGAGGATTGTTTTGTTGTTATTGACTCTCTTTAGGATTTTATTACTTTGTGTGTATGTGCTTGCACAGGCAGAGGAGGTGTGAATGTGAAGGGCTTGTACTTGCTGCTTGTGGTTTGATACATGACTTTGCAAAATTGTAACTTCAGAGATCACTATAATAAGAGTAGCTCCATTCCTTTTTTCATTGTTTTCATATTTTCTTCACTGCCTAACATTTTGGAATTTTGGTCTGTTTCAATTTATACTTGTTTAATTAACTCTCTACGGGCTTTTTGCTACTGCTTTCTTTTGGTGGGTAGTCTTTCTTTTTCCTGATTAGAGTTAGGATTTTCAAGCAAAAGAGGTTGTTCTGATTCTTGGCTGAAGAAGGCTAGGCTTTCACATGTTCAGGAATATTTTCCTGAAATTCCAGTGAGTGTTCTAAATACGATTTCCAAAGAACTTTGGGCAGGATGACACATTAAAAAAAAATAAAGGAAAGATAGCATAAATTACTTAATACAACTAAAATTATTGTATTCATATTGGAATATATCTTTACATGTTGCCCATTTTTCAAAAGCTGTGGCTCTGCCCATAATTTTTCAACTTTATTGAGAATGTTGTTACCCAGTTTAGCTGTCACCAAAGAAAACTTAGCTTTGTGCTTTTAATGATTTGGCAGTATTATGTGCTGTATTTCTTAAAATTAAACTTTCTTGGGCCAGCATTGCCAACGTGGCCAGTATACTGAGAAGTTAAATACAGAGCTTGTACACACTTAAGGATGGTTCTGTACATATATTTAAGGTCTATTTTGCAGGTATGACTAGAAAGCAAGGGTATCTGTCCTTGGTATGAATAACAACAGGCTGGAAGGTGTTCCCTTTGAAAGTTGGTAAAACTGGAGACTGCATTTTAATTAAAAATATTTAATATGAGCAGATGATTCTGCTGCTGTTTGGAGTCTCATTGTTGCCTTTTTGTGTAAATGGCTCTATTTACTCACAAACCTTTCAAAAACATTTTCTTTGAGTTCCTGAAACACTGAAAAGGTTATCTGTAGGTGTGAGGTAGGGGGGTGTAAATTTAAAGCACTGAAGGGTATGGCTGGCAATGTTTTCTCCCGCCGAGGTTTGACACAGTTCCTGTGGGTGGAGTGAAACAAATCTTTCTTTATTTCACAGGACATGGTGATGTGCAGCATGTCTTACCTAGAGCCTGTAAGGATGGCTGTCCTCTGTGTGCTGCCCTGCAGGGAGCACCAAAGGGACGGGGAAAAGGAGTGGGAAGGGCTTACCATGGCTGTGAGCACGGAGTGTTATCTACACACTGACTTTGGTTCTCCCTCTCCTTGTTTTTCCCTGTGTTTTTGTGTCAGAGGCACCCTCCAACTGGCTGGTCAGCATGCACTGTTGGAAGAGTGTTTTTTAGGTGTCTTTTTAGCATTGCTCGAAATGGCTTGTCAGTTTTCTTCACACTCAAACAACAGTGTCTCTTTTGTAATTGTAAATTGGTTTGTGGGGACTATGCCTGTAAAAATTGTCTGCCCAAAGCTACAGGAGGATTTTTTGTGCTAATCAATAAGACCATGCAAGAGTCACCACTCTTAATGTAAGCTTTCTTCCTAAAACAAGCCTTTGTGGCTTCAGAGGCAGGACTGTCCATCTTGCTACTTGTCTTCAAGCTGCAGATGCCTGAAAGCTCTGCTATAGGTTGACATTTGTGTTCCTGTGTTAGTGCAAAGCTGCTTTTAGTCACCTTTTTGCATTAGAAGACTGGCCCTGGTGTCTCGTCTTTCAGGCAGGGCATACATTAATTTTGAAAAGCAGGGCAGAAGTGTGTGGAGGCCTGGAGGCCAGCTTTGAGATCAGAAATTATTTCTATTGATCTCTGGTCAGTGCATGACAACTACTACACTTAAAAATTTCACTTGTGTGTAGATGAGCTCAATTTTGTAGAGGAAATTAGAAAGGTAGAGGTAATTGCAGAGAAGGTAAATGTCAGGGCTAAATTTGGATTTTTACCTTAACAATTCTGGATTATTTTTCTTCAGAGAATGCTGCTTCTTTCTTTGTATGCAAACTTCAGCAGCAGTAAATACAGCAAGTAAATAAAGGAGATTTTGAATGCTTTATCCTGTCTGTTTTTAAATGCTGGAGTAATTCTAGATGCCTTGTTTATTTGAGTACAACTGTTTTGTTTTTGTTTTTTTTCCCCCAGGTTTTTAGTAAGCTCATAAGCCTGACTGGATTCACAAGGCTCTTCCTCTCCTGTGGTTCTTCCCAATTAATGTATCTGTTATGCCTTTGAGGCTTGAAGTAGGGCACTGATCTGTTCATGTAACCACCATTATTGTTGCATTCTGACTAAATATGAGTGCCCTGTTTAGAAAGACAGTATAAGGGAACACTGTAAATGGAGTTTTGTGCCAGAAAAAGGTGCTTTTATAATTTGTAGAAAGAAGTATCTGGAACTAAATTAACTCTTACCAGTGAAAGTACTGTAAAGCATTGACTTATGAGCTTGGTAGTTTCTTATCCTCTGTGTGTTTTCAGTAGTAGGCACAATATTTGTCATTAATCAGTTGCTGATCATGGAGTTTGATTAAGGGTAGTAAAACCTGTTGCACTGGTCATTTTGTTGCTTCATTAGCGGGTTTATTATCTGATACAGCTGCATTGTCCTCACCTGACTTTGAGCAGTTATTTATGTAGCAGTATAACATGTGGTAAATATTTTTGCAAGGGCAGTGGGAGGAGAAAACTCAGGAATATTAAGTCTAAATTCTAGACAAGTTTTCAGACTATGATGCCCTCCCTCAGGGAGGAGGAAAAGAGCAAAGCCCTTTGGAATTTAAAAGCTTTTGTCCTTGTCTAACTATGACTTTTACCAAAGTCTGTGAGAAACCCATTAGCTTACTACAGGAAAAAGATGAAGGGTGGTAGAGAATTATAATGTAGATTTTTTAAAAAACCAACCCTCTGTGCAGCATTTATTTTCAAAGGGAAGCAGTTCAGCAGAGCTAGGCTGGTAGTGAGGGTCTTTCAGAGTTGGTCTTGGGATCCACCTCTTCACAGTCCTTTAATTCATGTGATAAGAATTTGAGTACAAATCAACAGAAGCATGACAACATTGACAAAGACAAAATTTAACATTAGTACCTGTCTGCCTAATTGAGGGTCAGGCTTTGGTAAACGGCTCTCAAATGAACAGCATGAATTGATTGGTATCAGGTTCATTAAAAGGTGAAGCCCTGAGATCACAGATCCTGAAACATCCAGGGAGAGTAGTGATGCTGTTCAGCTTCAAGTGTGCTGGCCATGTGTTCCCAAGGGCAATGAATTTCTACCTTTGGAAGGAGGTGCCTGGAGCCTGTGGAAAACTGACTCTGACATGAAAGTGAACTAAAGACACCTGCTTGGCTTAGCTCGCAAGTTTTGGTGAAACTATGTAAATGTTTTACATTGGCAAGCACTAGTGGATGTGAGAAGGCTACTCATGCTTGAATGATAACACCAGCATAAGAACAATAGTCGCCAATTAACTTGGTCTGGAATCCAGGAGAAGACTTCCAATATCAAAGTAAACTTTGTAGCAGCCTCATGGTAGAAGTAGCTAACAATCTTGTCTGTGGGTGCATCAGATTCCTGATGAAGATTGTGGTGTGGAAGATGGGTTTGTAGCTTGATATCAGAAGAGATCTTTTCCAGCTTTGTATTCAGATTCTCCCAGCATCTCAAGAAATTCAGCAATTTGTCTTGCCTATGTAATTATACATTAAACCCAATGAAAGTTCACTGTTCACTTTTTCATTAGGATTTATGAAATGAGTCTCTGAATAAACTTACGATTCTTGCCTCTTTTGTGTTAGCATTTATATGAGGTAGGAGAAATGAACATGCCCTGCTTGCTTAGCTGGCAAAAAGTGACTGCAAGGAGCAACTGCGAAACTCGGCACTGGTGATTTCATGAAACCCATTTTTAGATACCTGTCTGGGATGCAGTTGATGACTGGTATTTCTTTGGAAGACCTCAGTGTTTCAGTTAGGAGTTAGTCAGCTCTAGCTCTTTATTAAACAGCTTGCATGTCATATATTCTTGAGGACACTGCATTCGGTTTCTGAGTAGTAGGGAGTTTCATGTCTAAATTCATAGGAGACAGAAAAAAGTCATCTTGACTTCCAAGTGTGCTGTTTCTGAATCTTTAGGGTAAAGTGTTTGTAGATGAATTGATGCTCATTCTTAAAGTTATTGCCATAAAGTATAGGCTCTGTTTATTATGCTGTGAAATTTTATAAGGGCAGAGGAAAAATGGGATTTGGTCAGGTCTGAAATACATTTTGAACCCTAATCAGGCTGAATAAAGCTAGGAAGCCTGGAGGTCTGGTTTATGGATCTGTATTTATGAGTAAAATAAATCATAATCTGTGAATGGTTTCTCAGTTTGATGGATCAATGTGCTGGGTGTGCTTCCCCAAAATTAATTTTCACTTAATAACCAATGGGGCTGCTGAAGTTAGGTTCCTAGCAACCTAATTTGCTAGAGGCAAAGTTCAGGATGTTGCTTTTTTCAGCAGTTCACTGGACCAGCAGCTGGAAGATGCAGCTGTCTTTTCTGAAAAGCATTGAGAGGGTTTCTCTCTCTCTCTCTCTTTGTTGTGTGGTTTTTTTGTTGTGTTTTTTTTTTTTTTTTAATTCCTCCTTGAAAATGGAACATCTATGGTTTAAATCTAAATGAAAGTGGATCATACTACTGTCTGACATACAGGTTGTTGCACCATTATGCATTTTCTTCTCTTAGCAGAATTAATGGCACAGTTATTTCTCACTATGCCTCTATGCCTTCAGTCACTTCAGCTAGAACTACAAGAGGAAATTCTGTGCCACTGGAATGTTACT